CCAAACCCAACTGGATCACTCAACACATGTTAGCTTTGCTAGAAATGCTAGTGAAACTTTGTAGGTAAAAAAGATTTTAGTACTCATCTTGTTAACCATATGTTAAAGTCACTGGTTAAGGCTTATGTAATAAGGAGATCAGGTTATCATTCTTATAGAGGAATCCAGCTATTCTTCTCAAGAAGGATAACCAAGACAGAGGTTGGATGCTTAGATCCTCCTTCTACTACTTATTCTCTTACTCTAATGTTATTGGGCAACTTATTCAGTGGAGAAAGCTGATTTTTTAAGTACATTATGTTTCTCAACGAATACTGATCCAATCACATAACCTGTAAACCCTCACAACCACCCTGCCATGTAAGCATTGTCATTAGTATTTCACACAGTTAAAAATTAGTGACACCTGGTGTTTGAAGTGGAAGTAATATTGATATAAACAGGGAAAGACAAATTTTCCTCTTTTAGTAAAGCTGGATTCATGATGTAGCAGACATATTTCTACCATAATGTGATTGGAAAAAATTTACTTATAAATTTGCTTATAAATTTACTTATAAATTTGCTTTAAAAAGTGAAATTTAATGGTTACATTGTATGTCCAGACTATACAAGCCATTATGAGAATGTATAACACAGAGTCTTTATGTTTATTATTGATGTATGTTTTTGTTTACATACACTTGATTTTGTGCTTAGATGTATTTTAATTACAATTGTTTCTACAGTAAAACCTGTATATAAAGAACAAAGAATATGATGAATTTGTCTGTTATAAACAGCTGTCCTGTGTATACAGAGCCAGTATTCTTTAGGTGTTTTACATATCAGACATTTATGACTGAGTGATGCATAAAATGTGAAAAGTACAGGTTTTTATAGATAATTGAATTTATTTTGAAAATCTTTTTCCTGCACTGTTACAATCAATAAGAATGAAAATCAAACTTTAAAAAATTGTCCCAATTGATAGCTGTAAAACTAAACAATGAAATGCATAATAAGTATGTATGTGCACTTTAACTTTTAATAATACTTGTCAAAAAATATTTAAAATTGAAATTAATAAAAATTCATTAAAAAACAGTTGCCTCACCTAAAGGTCAACAATAAAGTAAAACATATCTCGTGTCCAATACTTGATAGTGTCATCAGCAGTGATTTTAAAAAAAACTAAATCTAAAATTGTCATCATGTTTATTTATCTGCTCTCATTTGTAACATACAATCTTACTTCATAGGGAAAATGTTGAGAAAACATGGACCTTTTAATGCATATCAATCAGATAGTCAAGTCGAACAGGTCATGTAGGCATTCTGTAAGGACCATTTTAGCAATAGGTGTCATTTCTTAGAATTTGATTACACATACCTTAGAGTAGCAATTATACAGTTTATTTCACTCATCATAGATAATTATAAACTTTGAACTTTAAACTGTTTGTTCTTTACTAAAATCTATTCAGCTATTTGTCCACTGGTGAAGCATCTGTTCTAAAAATGAACATTTAGGGAGAAAATTACAAACATGGATTGTTTTATAGATTCTAGTCCTTTCATAGAATTAAGTCCATGCATTTTCTTGATGATACAAAATATTTGACCAAAGTTGTGGGCAATAGTTGTATATGTATTTCCATATACACTGTATAAAGATTGCCAACTTTAATTTAAAAAATTTTCATATGTAGAAAATATAGAAATGTATCAGACATTAGAGAGTGAATGTTTAATTGTGACACGATATAAAAATTTTGATCAGGAGTTGAGGGATCAATATTTTTTTAATTTAAATTAATATTTTGAACTTTTATCATTCTTTGCTATACTTGGAAAGTTTATTCCCGATTTTGTAAACATTTGCAATTTAAAAAAATCTAATTGTTGTACAAAATAGGCACCCAAATGATGCTTCCCCAAATGAACAGTTTGTTTACATATTGTAAAACATTTTCAGAACAAATGCTTATATATAGGGCAGGAGCCCCAAGTGGTCAAGTGGTCTAAAGTGCTTATCTTATGGATCACTGCCATCATATATTGTCTGCATGGGTTCAAGTAACCAGTTTGGCCAATGTGGGTACAAGAGAAAGCTTGCTAGTAGCTTTTCATGGGTCAATGGTTCTTTCCAGGGTTTTCCTGGGTTGTCCACCATTACTGGCCACCACCTGTAGCCTATTTTGTTCTGAAAAATGCCTGTAAACCCTACAATAAAAACAGTATATAGGGCAGAAGATTGGGGTTGTAGTCATATTAATTTAGAAAAATGATTTATTTCCAAATTTCCCAAATCAAGGCATATTATTGGGCAATGGTTAAATTGTTGAAATAGTCAGTTTTATATTTGGGATCTAACTGCATGAGTTGGTCAAAATGCAGTGCCAGATTTAGGACAACTGAGGCCCTGTGCTAGTTAAGTTATGAGGCCCCTTACATGGGCCATGAAAGAGGTAGGCCCAGTAGGCCTACACAGGTAGTTAGGCATATATACTCAGGAAATATAGGGGTTGTTAAAATAGCCACAGACTTTTGACAAATCTAATCTAAGAAGATGAACCCCCAGGCAACTAGGTGCCCAGTAAGCACACCTAAGCACAATGGTAAATCTGGCTTTGTCTAAATGTCACCAATACTTGGACCAGGTTTAGGTTGTACCCTTTTTGTAAAGAATGTCATAGAGCAGCTAATAAAACCCAATACTAAGCCTGAAGGCATTTTGTATTTTGTGTACATTGAGAACTAATTTGTATTCATTCTGAGAGAGAGAGAGAGAGAGAGAGAGAGAGAGAGAGAGAGAGAGAGAGAGAGAGAGAGAGAGAGAGAGAGAGAACATTGTTGGTTTTGTTTTATTTTTTTCTTTTTTTGTTGCATTGTTTCTGCAATAATATTGTCACTGTATGTTATCAAACATTTATTTTAATTGAAAGATTTCCATTTGATGTCATTTAGATGTATTTGCAATTAAACAAAGTATAGCTGCCCCAGTGTGTGTTGGCATTCCATTAAGATTGCTATGTCTGGTTTCAGACATATATTGTATTAATTTGCCTCATCATGTAACATATATATTATCTGATATAGTAGTTCATGCTGTGTATTCATGTGTGCTAAAAGCTATGCATAGTTTCTAATATAATTCTTTCTTGCAATAAATCAAGCTGAGTCAAGCAACCACAATTGCCTGGAACATTTTGCATGTATCTTTCTCCATTTATTCAAGACTTAAGTGTATAGCTATTGATGTCTCTGCAGGCCTATTAGCTGGCCTGGTTGGTACTTCATTACTTTATACACATCCCATATTGTACACATCCCAATTGTTCAAAAAGTTTTAAGCCTAAAGGATGCTGAAAGAAATTACAAAGTGTTTAATGTTAAGTACCAAATCTAGTCATCTGATAGCAGCTACTGGTTGCATGAGTGTTAAATAATATGGGCTTGCTGTGGAGCACAAACCAACAAGGCTCAAGAGAGTGGATTAAAATGCAGAAAGTATATTATAATTTTTAGCTATTGATAAGACAAAAAAATAATGATAGTATTAAGTACCAAATTCTGAATTTTTTGAGCAAACAGTGGAACTATCAGAATCATAGTGGCTACTGGAGACTTCACACAAATGCATGCAAACAAGCATACACACTGATGGGTAAATCCAGAATTGTTTTTGTAGGGTTTAGTTTTGGGATTTGGATAGTTTCTTTGTTTAAAATAGGGATCTTCTTTTACCAAATAAGGTACTATTTTAACCCATGGAATATCCTTTAAATCTGTGACTGATATATGCAGTTGTAGGTTGTAACACTTGTTAATTTCTGTGCTTGAACTAAATGCTAGTTGTTAATTATTTTCTTATATTGAGTTCTCATGCAGCTGTGGGAGCCACAAACTTCATAGCCTGTTTCTTGTTTAGCTGGCAGTCATTGGAGTTGATGACTTGTTAATAATTTGCCTGAGTTTGAGTTTTCTTTAATAGTCTTGTAAGGAAGCTGTTTTGGAGAAGATTTCAGAACTGAGATGTACAGTCATGTAGTATGATGTCCAGCAGCACTTAATAACACCTATAATATGTTGGTTAATAGGTTCATTGTTTCTTTCCTTTAACTGGAAATGTTCATATTTCAATAATTTTTCTACAACATGATTCTCAGAAACATACTAAGAAAGTGCAAGTTTTGATATTTCAGATTTTAAAAGTGTGAAATATCATTAAGAATTTCTTTCATTTTCTCATAGCAAGAATGATATAAAACAGACTGATAACACATTTAAGATATTAACAAATCTTACGGTTTTTGTTGAGTTATTGCCCTTTATGTATTGAAGTATGTAAATGACAGGACGAAACTTGTCATGCAGCATGTTTATGGATCAAAGATGGTACATATGAAGATCATCATCCAAGGATATTAACAAATATTTGTGATTTGTATAATTGTTTTCCGAGTTTTTCTACATACAACTGTATGAAGTATATGATAGAATTTTGTGAATGCAGCTGTTCTATCAGCAGCTTTATGAAGCTTATTATGCTCATTATCATCATCAGATATGGCTGTTGAACAGTGATTTTACTAACACTTTTTTTCAGAAGAAATTGCTTTTTGTTTTTTCTAAAAATACTCTGGACTCATGTTTATCATTGGGTTGGATCCCTGGCCGAGTTATATCAAAGACTTACAAAAATGGTACTAGCAGCTGCTTCGCTTGGTGCTCAGCATTAAGAGGTTAGTGTTAGGACTGGTCGACCTGGTGTCAGGATAATGTGACTGGGTGGGACATGATGCTACCTGTTGGAAACAGGATACCCCAGTGCTAGACATAACTATAAACTGCCACACTACAGACATCGCAGCCATGTGATTGAAAAATTGAAAGTTACATTAAAAATCCAAATCCACACACACACAAATCACACAATTTTAACATCATGGTAGATTTTGTTTGTTCTTATAAGAACATCTGAAAATCAGTGGTCATATTCAAACAATAATTGAACCGCTCCAGTGGCCTAGTCATTAGAGCGTCCACCTTAGATGTGGGAGGTTTTTGGTTCGATCCCCAGTTGAGTCATACTTACAAAAATGATACTAACAGCAGCCTTGCTTGGCGCTCAGCATTAAGAGATTAGTGTTAAGACTGGTCGGCTTGGTGTCAGGATAATGTGACTGAATGGGACATGATGCTATATGTCTGTAGCATGATGCCCCAGTGCTATACATCACTATCAACTGCCACACTGCAGACATTGTAGCAATATGACTGAAAAATTGTTAAAGTTATGTTAGGGGTATGATGCATGGTTAAATTTAAATGAGCATATTGCTTGTGATTTTTTAAATTAATTGCCATGAAATTTGTTATTGTCCTTTTCTCTTGTAGCAATATATGATACAGTCTTGTTAACACAACTTTAGTATTATCACTCTCTCTGGTTTGTTTGTACCGCCATACCAGTTCAAAAACTGAAAGCATCAAGGATATAAAGAATGCACAAAACTTAGTTATTTAATTGATTGATTTATCATTTCTAACCTAACTGGTGACATGGTCTCCTTAACACTATCAAATGTCAATGCAAATGAAGCTCCAGATGTAAACAAGCAAACAGTTTGGTAGCTGTTCATTTCTGGTTTCTAGAATAGTCTATTTTAGTATATTAAAAAAAAAAATGTGTCATCTGCATCTAATATCGGCTATGTCAGGATATTTCTAAAACAAATTGAACAGAGAAACAAGAGGAACTCTAATATACATGTGTTCAAAGAGATATTATTCCAAAATTTACAGAATTAGTGAGATTTTCAAGAACTACAATTCATCTGTTGCTTGAAAAGATAGACTGGACCAAGCAAATATGGTGAACATGTTGCTATAGAAATTCCCATTCGATTTGAAACACCAACAGTGTTTGGGACCCCTTAGTGATAATTGGATGAAAAACTTGTAAATCATTGAATGAAATGACTTAATTTTTGTGTATCCTTTATATCCTTGAGGCATTTTTGTTTCTAAAACCAATATAGGGCACAAACAAATGGGATGGGTAAGAGAATACAGTACTCCAACAGCTTTTGATTAATTGCCATGAAACTTGTTAAATATAATAATCATCACCTCAAATCACCTTGTTCCTGCTATTTTGTTTGAGTTATTGCTCATTTTGTTATTTATGACACAAGTTTAAAGCAACTAGTCCCTTAAAACACTCTGGTGCCCTAGTGGGACAATTCATACTGCTGTCTAGCACTGGAGCATCATACAACAGACATGTGGCATGATGTCCCACCCAGTCACATTATCCCTACACCAGCCCAACCAGTCCTAATACTAACCTCTTAATGCTGAGTGACAAGCAAGGCAGCTGTTAGTACCATTTTTTTAAGTCTTAAGTATGCCTCAGCTGGGGTTCGAACCCACAACCTCCCACATCTGAGGAGGATGCTCTAACCACTACACCATCAGAGCAGATGTGTAAAATTATATGTATGCAATTTATTTTGTAAATTTTCTTTCTTCAAAACTGTTGGTCATCTAAGTGCTTTCTTAAACCATGGCTGATTTCTACTCATATGCAAATAAGGCCCCTAGTCAATGCTTTAACTTTTGAAATCAAAGGACCATCAATGAAATAGCAGTAGCAGTTGTAATAATGGCTTTTTACTATCCAAAACACAAACCAGTACTATCTAACCAAAAGGGTAGAAGTTTTTATACACATACAGACATAAATACAGAAGAAAGAAAAGGTGTAGGATGTAAATAAGGAGGATGAAATATAGACACACAAACATAAAAAAAATAATTGCAAAAGGGAAGGAAGTCTTTATATCCCTACTAATTTATCCTCTGACACATACAAACACAAGAAAAGGATAGGGCTTTTATATTTAGTTGTCAATAAAGACCTATAGAAACATAAATTCTTGGCAAATGATTAGTGTGGCCCTTAAATGTTGAGGTTTACTGCCACTACATTAATGGTGGATGCATTAATCTCACCATCTCATTGGCTATTCTTATTGTAGCCACTTTCTTTTGATGTTTGTGGGGATAGCAGTTCATCTCCATCTAACTCAGAAGGTTCTCTAATACAGTGGTCCCCAACCTTTTAGTCACCGTGGACTGGTCAACGTTTGATAATTTTACCGCGACCCGCTGAGAGGGTGGACGTTAGTTGTTTATATTTTAGATTGTTCTGATTAAATGATCTTAATTTATATTGTATTTAAACATGCCTTCAAAAAAAAATACACTTACACCAAAAATGAATCTAAATAAATATAAATATCAATGAATATAAAGTGAATATAAACCCAAGAGAAATACACAACAGTAAATAAAATGGAAATAATTTAATGTACCATGGGCGGACCGGTACCATTTGATCCACGGACCGGTCCATGGTCCAGGGGTGGGGGACCACTGCTCTAATAAACACATGGTTTCTTGCAACTTTCCAACTTTACTGCCATTCTTTATTCTTTAACATGATTGATGATGAAATGCATGACTGATGAATAAACTACTTTGTATGCTAGTAACACATATGTGAAGGAAGACATCCTTTACACACAAAATATACCACTCCACCCATCACCACAAAAAAGCAACCAAATTCAACAGAAATGGTATGAACCTAAAATAAACCATTCTTTCTTTTTTGCACATAATAGGTTTAATATTAGACAAAAGTCGATACATATATAATATCCAAAAAACATATTTTATTAATTTTTATTAATAAGGAAAGGGTTGTTTAAAGTTTTAGTTCTTGGGAGGAAAGCAAAGACACACACAAATGTAAAACAAAGTTTTGGCCAATGACTTTTCTGGAGATCTGGATGACTGTTGAAAGGGCTGTTTTGTTGGTGAGTTATCCTGGTTTTCAAGCAGGACAGCCACATCTCACCATTGGCCTCACAACATCATAGGATCAGCTCTTTCTACTGGAGATTGGGAAATCCTCTGTCTCCATTCTGCACTCCATCTCTTCTTATTATTCTTGTTTCAGCTGCTGTCTCCTCAATGATTGTTAAGCCTTGCAAAATAGTTAAGATTTTTTTTTCTTCTGCTAATGCTCTTCTGGATCAGGTGCTCCATGATCCAGTCTATGTGTGTCTTGGTCTGATAATCTTCAGAGACATTTTGATTAGCTTGCAAGTTTATGATATATGGTTAGACTGGTGAACAAACCACTTTATATGAGAAAAGCATAGATGTAAAACAAATTACAACCAAGCTGAATGGAAAGAAGAGGAATGAACATATTAGTGCAGTTTGTTTGCAATAAATGAAGACAAAACCCCCAAAAAAAAATTACCATTTGTTGCAGTAGCATGATAATAGGGGTTTAGATTTTTTTTTGTACTAATGAGACTGGTCTTGTATCTGGATGTATTAAATTTTGATCTTTTTGTACCAGTTCTCAAAGGATAAATTTATAAAAGCAAGAAAAGCATAGATTCTTGCTTCGCTGTTTACAAGTAAGTCATACATTTCTTGTCTTTGAGCATGAGCCAACCAAAATGGATACTCACCAGTGTTGAAAGCAGCAGCAGGCAGGGTGAACCCTACAAAAGTTTGCTCGAATCCTTAACGAAAAATAAAGGTTCCTTCAGAGGGCTGAAAAAAGTCAATAGCACTTAACCAAAGTCTCTAACTAATTATATTTCCATACGGTAAAGAACCGGTAATTTAAATCGCCTGATATTAGCTCAGTTATACTATTATTGAAGTTATTTTGTCCTTACTTTGTAAGGCTATTTTGTTTACTCATAAAGCAACTCAATTGTTGTCCTTCCACCCTGCCTGCTGCTATTGATAGTCAAGGGGAACTAACCAAAGATTTTATCTAGACCAACACGATATCTTGACCTAGGATCATGTAGATTTATTGTTATAAATCCAAATGGAACAGATTGTGCTTTAGAAAAGAAATTTTTAAATTTAATCATATCCATATCCCCTGAACACCAAGTATAATAAATATTTTGTAAGGTATAATTATCTACTCCATTAAACACAACCAAAATATTACAGTTATCTCTAATCACTTTAGGTATCTGTGTATATCGTTGTGTAACATAAATCACGTCTGTATTTTTGTGACGACCTCGAGAAAATATTCTAGCTGGATTAGATTGTTTGTCCAACATCACATCATCATATACTACAAGATTATTAATGAATCCATCTAAGTCATCTACAGAAGGGGCTTCATCTATATTTGTGATAAAGTCAATAATATCGTCACCATCTTTATTAACTGATTTTGCTTTTTCATTAAAATCCTTAAGTACTTTGTAACAATGTTGATCATCTACAGACGGTGCTATTAAATATAGTTTGTTCCATCTCAACCACCTCATTATTAAATTTAATAATAATTGTGTTTTACCTGATCCAGATGGACCTATTATAATAATTCTTATCGAATTTGGTAATGCTGGATGGTGCTTCACTGGTTCCTGTTTTCGTGTCACCGAAAAATCAATTATTGTATCCATATTATTAATAACATGAGCTTATATTGTGTTCGATGTAGATCATCTACACCCACCACTGGATTGACAACAATAATAACGAAAAATAAACGACATGCATTAACAGGTAAATGTGTAAAATGTGGTACAAAAAAATATAAATTTATCTGAGGGAAAACAAAGATAGGTGGGGATATAGCCGCATCATTAGGAAAATTACCCGGATTACCATGGGCTAAATATGTTGGTGAGAAACACCTCCCTGGATATAATTATTGTGGTCCTGGAACTCGACTTGATATCCGACTTGATGATCAAGATCAACCAAGACCAGGAGAGTATCCAGTAAATAAAATTGATCAAGCATGTCACATTCACGACGTTGCTTATAAAAGTAAAGATTTGCAACAACGGCATCTTGCAGATGTAAAATTGATTCATGCATTAAATTCTAAACCCAATAAATCTGTTAGAGAGAAACTCGCTAGTTTTCTAATAAAATCCGCTATGAAAAGTAAAATAATGTTAGGGGCTGGTAATTAATTATATAATTATTATAATGGAATCTATTTATTATAGCCCAAGTGAGTATTGGAGGGGTAAAGCAGCGATCACTAAACTTGCTAAAGCAGCAAAAGTTTCACATTCTGTTGCTGCAAATTTATAACACGACAGGCAATATGGCAAATTTATCTACCACCACCAAAAAAAATTAAATATGCACATTTTGATGTAAGTGTTCCTAAAGAAGTTCACCAAGCAGATATTTTGTTTTTACCACACGATACTATTAAAGCACGTGGACGAAAGTCACGCACATACAAATACGCATTGACTGTTGTTGATATTGCAAGTAAATATAAAGAAGCTGAACCATTATCAACAAAAACATCATTTGAAGTTGCATCTGCGTTTGAGCGAATTTATCAACGTGGTGGTCTACAATGGCCACAACTATTACAAGTAGATCCTGGCAAAGAATTTTTTGGTGCAGTATCATTTTTGATGAAAAAACATAACGTTACAATCAGACGAGGGCATACTGAAATTCATTGTGATCAAGCAATCGTTGAACGATTTAATCGAACACTTGCTGAGCGGTTATTTGGATATCAATATGCGAAGGAAATATCTGCTGACTTTAAGTCCGGTGAGCGATCTCGTGAATGGGTTGCAAGGTTACCAAGTGTGATATCTGCATTAAATAATGAAATTACTCGTGCAACTTCCATGAAACCTTCTAATGCAATAACAAAAAAATATATACCACGTAGCGATGAATACGGACGAGGTCAACAACCAGTATTAGGTAATGTAATTGTGAGATATTTATATGAACCAGGGGAGTTGGAGGGTGGTAAAAGACGAGCTACTGACCTTATTTGGAGTTTGACCACACATACAATTTCTAGCGTGGTTAGATCTACTGGAAGACCTGCTATATACAGACTATATTCTACTGCACCTCAACGTGGATTTGTGCGTGAACAATTGCAAGTAATTCCTGCAGATACACAATTACCGCCACCTTCACTTATGTAAACTAGAACCCCTACGTCGATTAAATTCAATACAGGTCAACATCACATTTTCACGTGTGTGACCAAGATCACTATTTATTCTGTCTACGGTAAATTGTCTTGGATTATTATTCGAATATTGCCATAACATTATTGTGTTACAACTTGTACAGTGATTATTCTGTAATTGTTTTAGTTTTATAAATTCAGTATCAATATCAAAGTCACGTTTATTTTTTTTTTGTCACATTGTTTATAAGATGCTAATTTTTTCTTTATTACAACATCGTCATTAGTAATTTCTTCAGTTATCACATAATCTATAATAACCCTATGTAGTTGAGTTATTCGTCTGACGCGAGATACTGCAAGACATACTAAATTTGACCACTCGATCCGGTCATCTACAATCCAAATATTTGTATCAGAAATAGTTAATCCCTGTGACGAATGAATCGTTATAG